GCCTGGGTGGCTCAGTCATTAAGTTTCTGCCTTCAGCTCAGGTCATGATCCCAGGGTCCTGGGATGGAGCCCCGCATCGGGTTCCCTGCTCTGCGGGAAGCCTGCTTCTCCCTCTCCCACTCCCCCTGCTTGTGTTCCCTCTCTCGCTGTGTCTCTCTCTGTCAAATAAATAAAATCTTTAAAAAAATTAAAATTAAAATTAAAAAATTTTAAAAAATTTTAAAAAAACAGCTATTTAATTTACTAGGTGAATGACATTTGAAGTAACAGAAATGTTACCTAACATTTGTGTGCTCAACAGGGATAATATTAGAACCTTCCTCATAAAGTTACTTTGAAGTTTAAATGAATTGATACATCTAAAGAACCTAGAATAATGCTTAGCACATAATAAGCACTGTATGTATTAACTATGATTATAATAGAAGAATCTACGATGTACTCTGGGAGCAAGGAGAAGGAAAAGTCTAATTTAGTCTGCAGGGTGGAGTAGAACCTCCAAAGAGCTGGGCTCTGCAGACCAAGGGGAAGAGATTAGTATCAAATCATATTTGGGGAACTTTACAGACTGTATCAGTTTTTAAAGGGTGAAGTCTGGATAAATCCTGGTCTGGATGAATCCTTTAGCATAAGCTCATCATTCAAAGATGACTCCATTCCAAATGAGTTTTCTACCTGTTAGGGTATTATACAGTTACATCTGGCTAGAAGAAGCTCTATTCTATCCAGTTAAATGCTTACTACTTGTCTATAAAGCCAGTTTTTTTCAATCTCCCTTGTGTTAGATTGCACTTATGTTAGTTACGCAGTCTAAATCCCATTCAGAGCAAAACAGAGGATTGACTCACACTTTAGAAATTTTCTCTCCATGTTACTGATATGGGAAACAAAGGCAGAAGGAAATGTAGATAAAATTAAATTTCCTTATAACCTGCAGCCCAATGACAAATACTTGAGGCAGGCAGAGTGTAACATTTCTCCAGGAAACTCCCAACTGTCTTAAGTTTAATGCTTTGCTAGCGGGAAAAGCAACCTTAGCTTGATAATAGCTAGGCCTCCAGGATCCTGTGAGTCTTCTCTACCATATGAAAGTCCTTTTGGAAACTTCCCTTGTCTTTACTTCCCCCAACTCTGAGAGATATACTCAGTCACCCCTCATACTTAAAATGCAGCTCTTTCTGTCCGTGGGTCCTCTCCCTGTGCTTTAATAAAACCACCTTATTGCACTGAAGATGTCTCAAGAATTCTTTCTTGGCCATTGGCTCCGAGCCCCACCACTTCAAACCACATCATTACTAGTTCTAAAACTTGCTCAACTTAATAATAACTATTAATTTTTCAATTTCATTCCCAAGGAATTTCAGATTTTCAGGCTTTACTATGAATGAGTGTACAACATTTAGAAGGCTAAAAACAAAGGAAGGAAAGCCAAAGAGGAATACCAATTTTCAGCATCTGCCCCAGGGCTTTGCAACCTAAGCACCACTCTGCTTCTTTTTGAGGTGACTACATCCGCTCTTCTCTAGCTATTGGAATCTCTCCTGTATATGTGGGAGCATTTGTCTCTCTGACAAAGTTGCAACATCAGGGAATTTCTAGATAGGTATCTCTGAGTGAAAATTCCAAATTATATGCATCCACCCCTCCTTATATTATAATTACTCTCTTGTGGCTTTTAAAAAATAACTACACACATCATCAGTTTCACAACTGCTTCAGAGAGGGTAGGATTAGTATGCAAACTCCTAGAGAAATTATGCAGGTGACCACAGTTATTAATGTGAACATTGTTAAAAATGTTTGAATGCTGTTACGCTGGGACCAATAGACCAAATTTGAAGATTTTATCAACAAGAGGCTGTTGACTCAGTACTTGAGAACTAAAATAAAGGGATTTGAGAGTGTTGTTGCCTGAGCTGAATGCTGCCTGCTTTGGGGTTTTCCCTCATAAAGAACATCATGCAGTATTTTGGGGTAACAGTAAATTTTTCCTTTAAGAACCACAGCTAAAATTACAATCTGGTAGCTCTTTTGCTATGTCTTTATATGATAATTAGTCATCAACAATCTTTTTCTCTATTAATTTCACTTTGGTCAAATATTTTTCAGAATGAAATGAGAAGACAGGAATTTCCTGCGTATATGCAAATTCATTTATTATGAAACAACATATAACATCATAGACTATTACAATTGAGAAAAACCATAGATATATTGATTTTACTAGTGATTTCACTCTTTGGTCCAGGAGGTGAAATGCTTGCACATCCTGGTTGTGTAGGGCCTGCACATTTCCTTAAGTTATTCCTAGGCCCTCCAGGGGGTCTCAATTTCTAACTCAAATCAGCATTATTTAAATGATCAGACAGTTCACTGAATAGTACTTGGTACTGTGAATAAATTGGGCTTGCTCTTTCCATTCCATACCATTTTTTATCTGTCTGTTTTTCTGTACAGGTGGAGGATAGGACTTGGTACATCAGCTTACTTTAGTAAGAGTGGTGAATTTGCCTGAGCCTGAATCTAAACAAAAGCTTACCCAGCTGGAATCAGATCACTAATCTGTACTGTTGGTATAATATTTTTGCATTTGTTGATTCGTTATTAAGCCCTTTTATTGTTCTCATGTCCCAAATTCCGTCTTTATATACACTCCAGCACTCAGGCTATAAAAATGGACTGTTTCATCACCAGGTCTTTTTAGAAATAAAACAATTATCATTTATTAATCTATTGATTGATTGTAAACATGTGGAAAAAATAAATTAAAATGAATTAAAATAGAAAGAAGAAAAAATCATTTGTATATGAAATAATCATTTTTTTGAAAGAAAAAGAAACTTTGTTTGTTCTTAACCTATAAATTGTAAATAAATTCTAATTGCAGAAACTTTAAACAATATTGATAATCAAAAAGAAGTGAAAAAAATCTAAAGTTCATGTACATTACTTTATTGTGTTTGTTTTTTGTTTTTCTGTGTGTGTTTGTGTGTGTAGTCAAGTGGTTTATTTCCAGGATTGGAATAGTATAAGAAATATCGTTTATATCCTTTCTATTCCATCTAAGGCTTAGTTACAAGAATTTCTTCTTTCTTTAAATGGCTCTCAAGGTCATGGTTTTTAGTAGTGGTATTAGAATCAAACAGATGGAAATTACATATTTATCTAACCATTCACCCAAGTGACAGAAATTTAGTTTATTTTTTCATTTTATTACAAAATAATGCTTTAATGAACATTCATATACATAAATATTTATGTTTCTCTCTGATATTTTTAGGTCAAATTCCTGTAAGTGGTATGGCTAAAGACAATTTAAGTTTTTAAGATAGATTTTTGAATATATCATCAAATTTCCTTCTAAAAATGTTGTACCAATTTATAAACTCACCAACATTCACTGATATACCTTCACTGACTGCAACACTGAGTATTATCAGTCTTTTTAATACCTGATGCTGATTGGTAAACAATAGTATATTCTTAATTTAATTTGCATCTTTTTCTAAAGATTTTATTAATTTATTTGAGAGAGAGCAAGCACGAGAGCACCAGGTGGGGGGAATGGCAGAGGGATAGGATGAAGCAGACTCCCCGCTGAGCAGAGAGCCTGATAATGGGGCTCAATCCCAGGACCCTGAGATCCTGACCTGACCTGAAGGCAGCTGCTTAAAGGACTGAGCCACCCAGGTGTCCCAAATTTGCATTTTTAAATTACAAATGAAACTAACACCTTTTTCTCCATCCTTTGTATATCTTCTATGAATTGCTACTTATTTTTTTCTATTGAACATGCTTATCTTTTATTTTGATTTTTAGAAGTCTTTTTTAATTAAAAGGTGTTAACACTTGGTCGTATGCATTGCAAATATTCTCCTTCTTTGTAAGTTGCTTTCTTATCTGGTTTACATGTTTTTAGGAGTTGATTGTGATGCTAATAACCTTGTTATGAGGAGAAATTAAAGACATGATTGATCTGGGAGGAACTGATTGAGTTAGGCACAGGAATGGTGGTCTTTGGATTGCATTAGAATTTGGATGATTGGCTTACTGTTTTGGACAATGAAATTATAATTTTGGTACTTTAACCTCTACTATTTTAACTCTCAAAACAACCCTTTAAACTGCTATCATCATAATTGTAAGTCACAGATCTACTAAAGTGGCAAAAGCTGAATTTACAAGCCAGTTTTGTCCAATGCCAAAGTCTATTCTTATGATTATACCACGTTACTTCTAAAGATTATGTAAGTTTTTTTTTTTTTATCCCTATGCTTCAGTATGTTTTAAATGCCTGCCTGATATTCCATGCAGTTGGTGTTCCATAAACTCACCATGACTGAGTTCATTTCTCAGCTACATAGATGTGGACACAAAGGACACAGAAAGCATAAGTATCTTGTCCAAGATTACCGAGCTAGTAAAACTAATCCAGGGAAAGAGTTTGAGAAGTCCAAGAATCGTGAGATCTATTCCATCAATCTTTTCATTTTGTGTTTCTTCCTTTGCTCTTTATGCCTAGAAAGTTCTCTGCCTAGAGGTAAGAGACAATCAATTGTTTCCTTCTAATTGTTTCTGGTGCTGGTTTGCATATTTATATTTAACTCAAGACTATCTGGAATATATTTTGGTAAGAGAAATAAATTAGAGTTTTTTTCCTAAGGGAGGGTCTTGATGAAATGATTCCAAGTTTTATCTGAAAGAATATATAGATGGTAATTGCTGAGAAACATTTGAAGAAGAGAATTAGAACAGAGAACTAGTATTGCCAGAAATTTAAAAATAATAATTATGCAATAATTAAAACAGCACACGCCGTTTTAAGAAAAAAATCAACTCTGTTCAGTGTAAAGGAACAATTAAAATGATGTGAAAATCTTTTTTTCTCAAAGAACATATTAGTTTATTAATTTGGGATTTGATGATTTTTCAGATCTAAGGAATGTCAAAATAATAACTGAAAAAATACAACACCCCAAATAAAAATCCAAGCAAGCCTAGTGCTTGTTTCTGCAGCATATATACAAAAATTGGATCCATGCAGAGATTAGCATGAGCCCTGCCAAGGATGACACACAAATTTGTGAAGCATTCCTTACTTTTCAGTTAGGCAAGATGATTTTTATACCTCAATAAAGCTGGAAAAAAACCCCCAAAACTCCAAGCTTAAATTTTCTCATAACAAGGCTTGCCCTTCATGAATTGTGACAGTGAAATAATCCTTTTGACATGGTGCAGTTACTATGGCTATAAACATAGGTGTCATGGCAGATGTTGGCTGCAGAGACTCCTTAGCTGATGAGCGAACACTTTGGAGCTTTGTTTATGTGGGTGTGGTGCTTTGTGCATGCTCCACACTCCTGCCTCCTTGCAAGGTGCATCTGATGCAGAGCACTATCTTTCCTCTTAACCTATCTTTCTACTTTTGAACTGCAGTTGGGTTGGGTTATTATGGGCTGTGTCTTCTTCCTTGTCGTGCTGGGATTCGGATAAGCGGGAACCTCTCCCTGGAGTTATGAGGATGTTCACAAGGGTCTCCAGGTGGAAAGCATTTGGCCTTCACATGATGTAGAAAAGAAAGGAGAGCTTGGAAAGACAATAATCAAGGAGTTTTAAAAATAGGAGGAAGGGGGCGCCTGGGTGGCTCAGTTGGTTAAGCAACTGCCTTCGGCTCAGGTCATGATCGAGTCCCGCATCGGGCTCCCTGCTCAGCGGGGAGTCTGCTTCTCCCTCTGACCCTCCCCCCCTCTCGTGCTCTCTCTCTCTCAAATAAATAAATAAAATCTTTAAAGAAAAATAGGAGGAAGGGTTTTCTTTCAATCTTCTATTATTCAACCAAAAATCTATAAATGTATATGTGGTTGTCAGGATGAGGAACTCAATATCAGAAATGGAAAACTAAAGGTTAGCTATGAACCCCGAGGTTGAGGGAACTTATATGCTAATCCTTTTTTCCTCAGTGACATTTTCAGAAGTACAGGAAATGTATTTCCTTCTAAGAAAAGCAAGCATGGCAAGATCCCAACTTCTCTATAGGAATCTGTCAATTCTATTTTTCTACTCCTAATTGCCCTGGATTCTTAAATGACATCTGACTCCTGAACTCTCCAAGTTGTAGTCTGGATGACGCACTCTCATGTCTCTACCGAAGATGCAGTATTGCTTCAGTGGAAAATCATGCCTTACTTGTAGCCCTCGAGTGGTATAAGCTAAGGCTTTTTTTCTCCCCAGATGAGGGATGTTAATATAGAGAAAATCTGCCACTCTGATTTGCAAAATTTATAGAAACTCCAACTTTCAAGTGCTAGTTTATGAGGAATGGCTTCTGTTTATTTTTCATCTTTGCATTTTCTATGGTACCTTGTAGCATAAAGTCTTATGCATATAATTTTTCAATAGTAGAGCAATAAATACAAACAATAAATCTTGAACTGAGGGGTCTAATCAAAGGAAAAGTTTTCATTAATTTCAAGACCAGGAGGCAAAAAAAGAGAAACATGTTACAAAACTTACTGATTATTTCTTCCTTACGTTTACCAGTGGCCATAATTTAGTAGAAAGATCCCTCCCAAATGTCTCAGCTTTCTTTTCTAGGAAGACTGTATACAGGCGTTATAGAAAGTAGATACTCCCTTTTGCCTTGAAATATTTATCCTTTTGCACTGTGAGAGCTGAAGTTCAAGTCTCTCAGATTCAGACTGATCAGCAGTGTTTTTGGAAATAAGTAACATTTTTCCTTCATTATTGGATACTTATGTATCTATTAGGTATGGTTCTTCACTGCACACTCCTTGAACTTTTTTTTTTTTTTTTTGAGAGAGAGAAAGGTGGGGGAGGGACAGAGGAAAAGGGAGAGAGAGAATCTTAAGCACGGAGCCCAACGCAGGGCTTGATCTCACAACCCTCAGATCATGACCTGAGCTGAAATCTAGAGTTGACTCAACCGACCGAACCACCCAGGCACCCCTTGAATTTTTTAATACTAGTAGATTAATTTGAAATAATCCCATCAGCAGACTGAACTAAACTCGGGAAGTCATGATTTAGTATTAAAGGATGGCAACCAGGAGTAATGACTGTGTCTTTAATAATGAGCCGGTAAGACCACACAGCATGAGGAACGAAACCCAGGTGATGGCCAGTGGGGAGGAGGAGGGCAGGGTAAAAGGAATTAAGAAAAGGAGGAAATCTGTTTGCGAACTGACACCAGGGACCCTGAACTACAGCCCAAAATACATCGATATCTATGAACACCGGGGGTCTAGAGCGGAAATTATAAGACATAGGTATATTTTGACAGGCCGACTCTGATTTCTAGCTCTGGAGTTTTCTCTAGTTTCCACTCATTTCCCACCCTCCCTTAATGTCCTTTGTACCTAACACTGTCTTTCTCTCCATAAAGACAATAGTTTCTCTGACACTCCTTTCCAGAAACTGGGGTCTTGCCCTCAGAGTTAGAGTTCCCACTAGCTGAAAATTGACTGATAATCAATGCTACCTGGATGTCTGTGTATTGCCCTACTGGAAGACTGTCTTCCTGCCATGTCCTATCCATCTTCTGTTACATTTTTCTCATCTGGGATTTGATTGTTTCATTGTCACTATTCTTTCCATGTAGTGTGTTCTACTTTGCTTCTCTGAGCAGACCCTCGTGCAATGCCAGATCTGCCCTTACACGCCTTTAGGAAGGGCTGGTGCTGGACCTGTGTTTTGGACTGTCCCCCTGGTTAAAAACAATCCTGGTTCTCAATCATCTGTTCATTCATCAAACATCATTCATATCCCTACTGTGTGTAGGTACTTGAGATATAATGACAGAAATAACCATGGATGGACACAGGAACTCTCACATACTGTCATGGGAGTGTAAATTGGTAAATGACATTGGGAGACAATTTGGCAATATTTTGCAAAGTTGCAGATGGAGACTCCCTATTATCCAGGTATTTCCTGTCTCAGTTTGTACTTATAAAAACTCTGTTTCTCAAACAAAACAAAACAAAAAAAAACCCCACCACCAACAAAAAACAAACCAGAAAAAAAAAAAATTCTTGTTTCTCTTCATTTGTTTCACATACTTCTCTTTCATTTATAACATAGTATATAGATTATATAAAATTTATAATTAATGGACATTGTGTGTAGGTACTTAAATTCACTAAAGTGAATTAAAAAGTTATTCCTTGGATAATGATGCTCAGTTGGAGCTCAACTCTTTTCTTTACAAAGTTCCTTCCAAAAAGAAGATACCTACCCCACTCCCACAGTACATCTGATCTCAAGTATTTCAACTTCTGTCAAAATTCTCAGGCTTGAACTGCAGCACAGCAGATCCTTCCAAACGCAAATATGACAGCACACATTACGTATTGTCAGTTCTTTAAAATACAGAATTATATACAATTCTAGTATCCATCTACTTAAAATATTCATATGAATTAAACATTTGTGACCACAGAGGAAAGTATAAGGTTTAAGATGTGCTCCCTATGAGAAGGTGCGACCCACATCTAAATCAGTGCTATTCCATAGCCATTAAAGAAACAAGTCACTCCCCCCCATTTACTGTTTCCAAAGGAAAACCGCTTAATTTTTGTTCTATTTGAAGCCAAAGCATGCCTTCACATGCAAGTAAGACAGTGGAGAACAAATGAGAAAGTGAAGAGGTGACCCTGAGATGACCCTCCAGAACTTGTGCAACCCACGTCTCCAGCTTCATTAGCTTGTCACTACAAACTGGGGTGACGTTTCATTTTTGCGTCTAGATAATGATGCTTAAAGACTCTATCTGATTATCAGATGTCAGCACCTGTTTGGAGAGTTTGCAGGGTCTCGCCTTGCCTGGGGCTGGGAGCTCTGCTACAGCCAGGTTCTTCCCTGCAGCCTTCCCACCCTGCTGGCTGATGGAATGTTTGCTACCTTTGCTGCTATTGATGTTTATCAGCCTGCCCCTGGGCCTCTACCTTCCACTGGCATTGCCTGCCCAGCTCCGGAGTGGTGACACTGTTTTGGTAATTCTCCATAAAATGCTTGAGACCCTGCTAGGACCTTTGCAAGCTTTGGGAGGCATAGGAATTACAGACTTGAATGTCAACAGAGGTCTGGCTGGTAATGGGGAAGTGTGAAGGCTAAATGCTATAAGAAAAGCGGCCATGACATTTGGCTTAAATGTCACCCAATAAGAGACAACATGAGAGTGGTGGTGAACTGGCCAGCACATGCTCCATTGAAAGAGAGAAGCTGCTGGGAACAAAGTTGACCTGTGGGAACAGAGACCTAGGTTTGCCAGACCTGATTTTGCAAGAGGTCTGAAGTTAATATTCTTAAGTGAAACTTTACTTCTGAGCAGTGTGGCACCTGATTCTTTTATTTTTACAATGATACTGCCATGGCCAAACCAAACATTTCTGTGGGCCTCAGTGGGACTGGGGGCCACTAGTTTACATCTTTGACTAACAGCTACTATTACAAGTAGCTGCTCTTAGAACCCATAGCCCAACTATACTTCCAAGTCCCTGCATAGCAACCATCAGAATTCTACATAGCATGAGCCAACACACACACACACACACACACACACACACACACACAGTGCATGTGAGGGAGAAGTCCATGCTTATCAGGGGAAAACCTACATCCTTTCCACTAATGGACTCTGGCTCAACCAACTACTTAGAACAGTCACATGCTTTGCCCAAGTCCATCTCAAATAACACTTTATAGGAAAGGGTTAGATTATAGTTCAGATGCCACTGCACCAAGTTCAATAGTTTGCTTTTAGTCTTGCCTTCAGGATGCGGCAAGGAGAAGTTCCAACTGCACATATAATACAATTTCATCTCTTACCCTCCTGCGAGCAAATTCTTGAATAAAGATTATAAACCCAGCTTCCAGGAATGAAATAGTAATTTTAGGTAGAGAGCAGGCCGAATCCAGATTTAAGAGAACCTGTCTTCAGCTCTGTGGATACAGCCTTGCTAGTAAATCAAATGTTTGATAACTTGACTTTAAATAGGCATTCACAGATAGCAACATGGTATATTAAAATATCACCTGGTGCGTTCAACTCATTTTTAACTTTTCTTTATTCGTGGACTGGAAAA